TGGTACATATACACAATGGAATATTATTCAGCCATAAGAAGAAAACAAATCCTACCATTGCAACAACATGGATGGAGCTAGAGGGTAGTGAAATAAGCCAGGTGGAGAAAGACAAGTACCAAATGATTTCACTCATATGTGGAGTATAAGAACAAAGGAAAACTGAAGGAACAAAACAGCAGCAGAATCACAGAAACCACAAATGGACTAACAGTTACCAAAGGACAAGGGACTGGGGTGGATGGGTGGGAAGGGAGGGATAAGGGCGGGGGAAAAAGAAAGGGGCCCTTAAGATTAGCATGTATAATGTGGGGGCGGGGGTACCGGGAGGGCTGTGCAACACAGAAGACAAGTAGTGATTTTACAGCATCTTACTACGCTGATGGACAGTGACTGTGAAGGGGTATGTCAAGGGGACTTGGTGAAGGGGGGAGCCTAGTAAACATAATGTTCTTCATGTAATTGTAGATTAATGATACCAAAAGAAAAAAGAAAAAGAAAAAAAATGCGGCTAATTTGGAACTCTCTCAGGGACTCTAGGACCAGAGAAAGAATACGGCCTCATGAGGACGAAGGAGGCCAGGACGTCATCAGGGATGCCCCAGACAGCCAGCGCAGGGCTGCACAAGGGCCCTGTGCACCCTGGGACCCCAGGATGCAGGAGGGGCTCTCCCAGGACCCTAGGGAAGATCCAGGCAGTGGTTCTCAAAGTGTGTGTTGGAAACCATGGTGTGTGTGTGGAAGGGTTGCAGGGGGTGACGGGGGTGCCTGAGTCCCTTGCAAGGGGTCCATGAGGCCAAAACTATTTTCATAATAATATTACGGCCTTATCTGGCTTTTTCCTCCTCATTTTCTTATGAGTGCACAGTGGATTTTTCCAGAAGCTCATGACATACAATATTGTAAATGATTGAATGCAGAAGGAAATGTGAGACGACAGCCGTCTTCTGTGAAGCCAGTCATTAAAAAAACTGGCAGAGATGTAAAACAGTGGTGCTCTTCTACTACTTATTTTTGTTTGGGAAAACACTTTTCAAAAAAAATGTTGTTTATATTAATGTGTAGTGGGTTTATTATTATTATTTTTAAGTGAATTCATAAATATAAACATATATTTTAAGTGTCTCTGATTTAGTTTCCAGTCTGGTAAATATTGATAGAGAAAACCTTCCTGAAAGATCTTGGCATCTCCAATAATATTTCGGACCACGAAGGCATCTGAAGACCCAAAAAGTGAGGAGTGTGGTGTAGTAGACAGGATGCTGCCCAGGGAGCTGGCCTGGCTCTGCCATGGGTCGGCTGCGTAGTGCTGGGCAGGCCTCCCAAAGTGCCTGAGTCTTGGTTGCTTCATGTATAAAAACAGCAGTGACTATTTGCAATGCCCACCTTCTAGGGAAATTTCCAGAGGGGTAAAGCATATAGGGAAGCCCTGTAAAATATATGGATTGTTATCCAAATATTACTCTAGGACTGCAGAGAACAAGGGGACGTGGTCGTTTGCCTGCAGAGGCCCGGGGCCTGGGGAGGGACCTGGCAGTACCAAGCACAACTCCCCCAGGCGGCAGGATGGCTCTCCCGGAAGGGGTTTGCCAAATGAGGTCTCAGCTGTGAGTCCCAGACTGGCTGTTCCCTCGCTACCCACAGCGGGCATCGTATGTGGACACCCCCTGCGCCCATGCCTTGTTGCAGCCAGGAGACAGGGCAGCAGATCTGCCACCTTCCCAGCCCTGCAGGAGCCCACCCAGTCTGCAGGCCCGTGTGGTACCAGAGCCCCAGAAGTACTAACCCCACCATGAACAAGGGGCATCCAGACAGCAAACACCAGCCTCTCTTAAACAAGAGAGGCCTGTTCCTCACTCTGGGGGTGCAGGGCCTGGGGAGAAAGGAATTCTTCCCCCACCACACAGAGCCACTCTGCCAGAGCACAAGGGGCACTTTGTAAGGGCCGGGCTGCAAGGGCAGTGCTCGAGAGGGGGCCTACCTTCACCAGCAGCCTCCCTCGGCCATCCCAGTCCACCTGCAGGTCCTCCCCATAGCTGAGGCACACGGAGGACATCACAGTGTGCTGGATACGGAGGTCACCTGGAACAGAGTAGGGACAGGATTTAGGCTGAGATCTGCAGAAGGCAGGGTGGTGACAGTTAGATGTATCACAGGGAGAGATGGGTATCCAAAAAGGACGGCAAAATGAAAGCAATGAGGTAGGAGGCAGGTGGGGATGTCCACGACACTTAAGGGGGGATCTCGGAATGGGGTGATCGGGTGGGTGAAGTGCACACAGGGCTCTCTAGAAAGGTGCCTCTGTGTCCCTGCTGTGGCCTGCCATTCCCCCTGCTTCCACAAGAGGGCATAAGAGGTTCCTACATCCTAGGCTTAAGCAGGTGCCAGAAGCCAAGAGCTCTGAACCGTGCACCCCGATGCCTGAGCATGCCCAGGCCTCTCTGCCCTTGCACACCACTTCCAGGCTGAGTTACTCAATCCTCATGGCTGAGCGATGTTGTATGTAAAGCAGAACCCTGTATGCACAGCAGCTCTTGCTGGAGATGAGGTAGAAGCATACCTCTTGCCCTGGAGAAAGGCGTAAGGGGACAGACACAACCTTAATACACGTGGACATGCTGTGTGCGCATGAGCCCAGGTTCTCCCACTCTGTACAATGTCGTGACAATGGCCCACAGGGTGGCCAGTGGTCATGGAGAAGAAGAGGGCAGGAATCTGAGAGCCACAAACTCACAGCTTTGAGGGTGAAGGTGGGGATTATGCTGTGCAAAGGGGCACAGTGCAACCTGGCAAAGTCACTAGACAGATGGGCTTTTCCCACAGGTGACAGGACCACCTGGCTTTGCCCCATGACATCCTCTCACCATCGTCTCACTCGCCACCAGCCGCCCTCTTCCTGACCTCTCAGCATCAGCCTTTGCTGCTTCCTCATCTCAAAGAGGAACCAGAACCAGTGTCCAGCTCCCAACATTCCCCTTTGGCCAAGTGAAAATCCTCTTGAGTTTCTCTTCCCTCTTTGCTCTCCCCCAGGCCTGGAGCAGCTTCCTCCGTTTCCAGGCATCCAGCCCGCTTCCTCTGCTCCTCCTCCTCCTCCAGGAAACCTTCCTTTCTTTCACAGATACATACCAAGGATGCTCTGCCAGCCTTCCCTGACACTGCCACAGAAGAGGCGAGCAGTGGGCACCGCTCGGGAAGGGGCACTGCAGGGCCAGCTGGACCAGGCCCAGTGGAGGGGGAGTGGGCACACCTTGCAGAAGGGGCATCTGGACATCTTGTCCATCCATGGACACACCGCCCCCATGCTTCAGCTTCACCAGGCTGCTGTGCAGGTTTGGCAGGCGGATGGTGACAGAGCGGGTACAGACAGCATCCGGGTCATCAGCACACTGCCAAGAGGGGCCACAGAGTGATGTCACCACAACCCCACCAGTGCAGTGCTGGGATCCATGTACTCAGAGAGCGACCCCAAACCCAGACAGCCCCTGGCCTTCTCATACAAACAGCTCCATCCTCACAAAACAACCTCTGTGCCTGGGCTCCCTGGCGGTGGGCACAGAGAGGCCCTAAGCCAGCCCTCACCCCTGCCCAGCTCCCGTGCCCTCTCCCATCCTAGTCTCCTATAAAAACTGCAAGCCTCCAGCTTGTCCTCCTGTTCCTTGGGCCTCTTGTTCCAAAGCCATCTAGGACTCCAGTCCTCAGGGAGCCCCCCACGCTCTACCTGTCCTCACCATTGCTCCATCCTCTGCAGAAAGGAAGCTCCCACGTTTACCATGGTGGCTTGGCAGAGGATGGGACCTGCACGCCCCACCCAGCCACTCCTGGGCGGCTCCTGCCAGGCTCACCTGCATGGTCTCAATGACGATGGAGAAGGAGTGGTCCCGGCAGTCCCGGACCAGCTGGTACTGGCAGACCCCGCTGAAGGTGAAGTACCTGCTGTCAAAGCTCTTGAAGTGGGACTGTCCTATGACGAGACACTCTCCTGGGGGCACACGGAGAAAGGGAGGAAGATCCAGGAGGAAGGAGGCCTCCTGGGGTAACACATGGCGGCTGGACAGGGGGGCCGTCCCTCAGAAACCCCGTGGCTTTCCCACACCAGTCTGAGAACGAGCTCTACAGAGGCTGGAGTCACAGCCCATTCCTCAGCCTGCAGAGGTCAGAGTAGTGGTTCAGTTCAATCCCTCCTTTTAACAGGGGGGCAAGTGGCAGAGCCCCCCATGCAGCGGCAGAGCCCCCCGTGCAGTGGCAGAGCTGGACCAGACCTGCAGCTCCAGGCTCCCAGCCCACTGCAGCCCCCAGTCCTGCCCCGCAGCTGCCACTCAGGTTCTGGCTCTGCTGGGCTCAGGTGCCGCCAGGTCCAGGGAGAGGCCTTCCTCTGCCCCGGCACTGTGCGGGGCTCAGAGACGCAGCCCCAGCCAAGAGAGGCCCTGAAGGCAGAGGGCAGAAAGGCCAGCCCAGAGGGGTGCTAGGGAGGAGGAGGTGGGCAGCAACTTGCTCAGCAGCACAGAAGCCAGGCCCCGACCCTCGCCCCTCAGCTGAGGGGGGCTCTTGGGCCTCCTCACGGGCATGTCCAGGCTGGGACTTCTGTCACAGGGGCCAATGGGAGCCAGAAAGCCCTCCGCCATGATCTCCCCACTGCCCACACTGACACGCCTGTGAGTGGGCATGAGGACTCCCCTTTGTCACCCCACAAATCAGAGCCCTCGACTCAGCCCCACTCAGCCACCGCTCCATCCTCCCCCAGGCCCCCATCCAAGCCCCAAGCCATTGGCCCAGAGCAGCTCAGACCAGAGATCATATGTCCTGGGCAGTGTCCATGCAGGGGGTCTCGGCCACCATCTCCAGGGATTCCGCACTGGCCCCACCCCAGCTCAGGGCAAACCCATCTCCAGGGCCCACCATGGACCCTCTGAGGCTGGGGCAGGATCTGGACCCCTTCCCAGCCTATGTCCTTCTGCTCATCTCGGCCTCCTACTCTATAGGAAAACAAAAATAGACACACACCACAGTCGTTCCATGCAACAGGGCCCTCCTTCACCATTAGACACTCCAACCTCCACACAGCAGTGTTCTCCACGGCACTGCTCCAGTCTAAATCTGAGTCCCACCAGGAGGGTCCCACAGCTAGTACCCCCTGGGCCCACTTCCAGGGGCTGCTGCAGGGTCCTGTCATGCCATCAGGGGGTCCCCAAAGGCCTTAGGGAGATTCCAGCTGCCCATATCTGTTAAAGACAAACTCCACAGGTCCCCACCTCCCCGCCTTGTGCTCACATTTGCCCCAGAAGGCACAGCAGTTAGCCAGGGGCCAGGGCCAGACTGCACGGCTGGACTCAGGGGAAGGCAGGGTGACGGTGAGTAGCCCAGGCTACAGCGTCCTTCTGCCAGGGCAGTTGACCCCTGCCAAAGGGTACTGGCCAAGGGGACACAGTCCAGAGAAATTAGGAGAAAGAAGGAGGCCCCAGGTTATACTCATCAGCATCACATTCTGAGATAACATAAATTGGTCTTTGTCCCTTGTTCCTAACACTGCTTGTCAAGCCTTTGAAATTTCCTAGGTGAGAGAAATACCTTTTACTCTAACGAATCCCTTCTTGGCGGGTTCCTAGATAGCTTCAGGATGGGAGCTGGTTACCAGAAAGACCCAGGCCTGGTAAGAGGAATGGAATTTTCAGGCCCACCAGCCAAGCTCCAAGGAGGGGAGAGGGACTGGAGGTAGAGTCAATAATCCATCATGCCTACATAATAAAGCCTCCATAAAAACCCCTAAACAACAGAGTTTGGAGAGCTTCTGGGCTGGAAGCCCTCTATCTTCATGCTATCTACATACATATCATATCTACATGCAGGAGGAGGGCGTACCCCAGCTCCACAGGGACAGAAGTTCCCATGCTCAGGATCCTTCCAGATCTTGCCCGGGTACCTCTTCATCTGTTGATTCATAATCCTTTATATCCTTTACAACAAACCGGTAATAGTAATTAAAGTGTTTGCCTAAGTTCTGTGAACCATTCTCCAAATTATTGTACCTAAGGAGGGCATTGTGGGAACTTCCAATTTATAGCCAAGTCTGACAGAAGTGGGGGCCCCGGGGACACAAGACTTGTCACTGGCATCTGATGTGGGCCCAGGCTTGGGCTCAGCCCTTAACCTGCGGGTAATTAGTGTCAGAACTGAATTGAATTATAAGACACCCAGCTAGTGCCCAGAAAGTTAGAGAACTGTTTGGTGTGGGGGAGAAACACACACACATTTGGCATCAGAGGCGTTGTAAGTAGACACACAGCATGCCTTCCTGCTGCACTGGGCCCCAAGGACAGAGTGGCGGTGGGTGGGGAGCAGGGGAGTCAGAACAGAACAGTCAATAAGGTGGGGGCGGGGGTCATCCCAGCTGATTGTAAATGTGCTGGGAGTCCAAATCCACTGATGTCACAGGAAAGCCTTTTTAAAATGGTTATTTTTTAGGACCCAGCACCATTCTACAAACAGGGCAACATGGTCCTTTGTGTCAAATGTCGTGACCCTATTGCTGTAAAATGGGTGGGAATTCTTCCCCTGACTTTTCTGTTTTCTCAAGAGCACTCTTATCTGAGTAAGAAACTGCACTTCCATTATCTTTGACAATGCCCAGGAAAAGAAGGGTCAGCGAAAAAATGTGCAAACATTTGCAAGCAAAACTTTCAAGGCTGGAATCTAATCCTTGCATCTGATTTCCTGCTCTGACCCCCACTGATTTGTGTTCTGAACTTTCTCGGGAATCAGAAGTCTAAATTATAGTTCTCTTTTCTCCTTGGTACAGTTGAGGGCTGGAGCTGCAAGCACAGATACCCAGGGGCGTGGATGGGTGAGCGGCTGGGTAGCAGTCAGCCCCCGGCACAGAGATGTTAGCCAGAGCAATGGGCCACATGGCAGTGCCCACCCAGCCTGCCCAGGGCTGAAACGCCCATACATTCCCAGAAAGTTGGTCGATCAGCAAAAGGGAGCCTCTGACAAACAGCTGGGCCACCGCCAGAGAAGGAGGGCCATAATAGTTAAGTGGATGAATGAAAGGCTATGGGGGCATAATACTAAAAAAGAGCCTACAAAGTGGAACCACCAGACTCAAAAGCAGATTTGCTCCATGAATAAAGCTCCTCGCTCGTGACAAAATAAAAAGAAGTCTCCCATCTGATGGAAGTACCTTACCTCTTCTAAACAAACCCTTTTGTTTGCAGTAAGGGAGCTGCTCCGCCCAGACCGCTGGCTTCCATCCTTCTCCAGGCAGCTACAGAAATGCCAGCCTGTAGGCTCTCAGCAAAGCCACTCAGACTTCCTCCATGTCAGTTTTCACCAACGCCTGCCTCCAAATCATAGTAACATGATCTCGACCAAATGTGCACGAAGCATCTCTAAGTGCCCTGCGGGTACCATCTCACCTTCCGCTCCCAGGAGGTGGTCATCGTCATCCTAGGTTTACAGATAAGGAAACCGAAGCACAGGGGAAAACTCGCTCCTGGCCCCAAGATGGTCAGAGAGGGATTTGAACCTGGGCACTACAGCTCCAGAGCCCAGCACCACCCTGGGTTGGCCCTGGCAGTTTGTCCTAAGCCTCATTATATAGGGGCCAAGCCTGATGTCGTTCTGATCTGGCATAGACACAGTGGGGTCTGGAAGGAGGCACGAGTGAAGGGAAGCCTTGCAAAAAGCTGATGCGCAGCCAGGCCTGGAGGGTTATGCTGTGATACCCAGAGGAGACTCTGAATGACCCCAGAGACTCAGAAGCCCCAGGTGAGCCCAGGCACTTAGAAATGCATGCTCTGCCTGGAGGTACCAGCCCTTGGTGACTCATCACTGTCTCAGTCAGCCAGGGAGAGGTTTCTCTTTCTTCCTGGAGGCCGCAGAACAGTTTGAATCCCAAGGCTGAATTACAGGGCTGTGTTAGAACGCATCACAAATTATCCTGAACCAAGTGAGTAACTGATTACACGGAGGCCCTCCCCTCCGCCTCCAGACCAGGCAGGCCCTCTAGCTCCCACACTGCCAGGCCAAGTAGGCTCTGGCCCTGTCTTGCTCTCCTGCCCCACCTGCCCCCACCACACCCTGCCTCACACCGCCTCTCCCAGTCCAGGCTCCTTTGTGCGGCTGCCTGCATCTCAACCCTTCTCTGACCCTGCTTAGTAAACAGCCGTGGCTGTGAAGATGAACACAGCTAACATTACTGAGTGTTTGCTGTATATCAGGTGACAACAGCTTCCATGGGATGAAGCTGTTATTATCAACCGTATTTTACAGATCAGCAAACTGAGGCTGCAAATGAGTAAGCATTTTGCCAAAAGGTTCCCAGCTAGTGGGTGGTGGAACTAGAATTTCAACCAGGCTGCCAGCATCCACAGCCCAGGCTCCCAGGCCCAGCACGCTGCTATCTTCCCACACTCCTATCATCTGGGCCACAAATGGAAAGCCCTCCTTCACAGCTTCCCAGCTCCACCAGAGGGCCTTCCACAGTCTTCCTTCAGAAGTCTGGAATTCTATAGCCAGAGCTGTATCCCTACAGGCACAGTCCCCATGAACAGGCACCCTCCTTCCTCATTAGCCCTCTGCACACACTTCCGGCTCAATGGGAACTGAATTCGCAGAGCTCTCTGGATAGTAGGCTGCAGAGGAAGGAGACTCTCCAGCTTAGAGAAGGGGAAGTCTGCAGGCTATGGGGGCATCACAGTGTTGCCTGGGGTTGCCCTAATTCCTAACCAGAATGAAGATGTGCAGCGAGCAATGAAGGCCGAGGAGCATGGCACAGATGCTCCTGCCACCCCCCCCCCCCCACCGCCATATGGACTGAGTCTCTCTGGGCAACTTTTTCTCCCTCCCGCACCCTTACACAGCACTTGCTGTGCTAGGCAGCCTCCAAAATGCCCCACAATGGTCCCCACCTCCTGTAGTCATGTCTCTGTGTGATCCCTACATCTTGAGTGTGAACTGGACATGTTGACTTGCTTCCAGTAAACATAATACTATATAAGTGAAGGATGCACTTTAGAGATCAGGTTTCTAACAGACTGTGGCTGTTTTGGTGGCCCTCTCTCACTGAGTTCACTCACTCTCCCTCACTGAGGCCACTTTCCCTAGAGGAAGCCAGCTGTCATGTCCATGCCCATGGAAAGGTCCACGTGGTGTGGGATCAAGGCCTGCCAAACATCACAAGTGAGCTTCAAAGTGACCCTCCTCACACAGTGGAGCCTTTGGATAAGACCACAGCCCCAGTCAATGATTTGATTGCACTGTCATGAGAGACCTTGGGTCAAAGGCACCCAGCTAAGCCATACCTAGATTCCTAACAAAAAGATAATCTGAGATAATATATGTTGTTTGCTAAATTTGAGCATAATCTGTTATATAGCAGTAGACAACTGGCACACTCTCATCTTATTCCAGAGAATCAAACCCAGCTCTCTATTTCTAAGACTCACAGGATCAGCTCCTCCAGGGACTTCAGAGAAGCCCAGACTGCTCTTTGTTTCATTAGCAGAGCCAAACATATCCCCTTCCAGAACCTTCCCATCAGGAGTTCTACCAGCAATCATCACACTTGCTGAATCATGGCAAGGTGTAGAAATATGCCTGTGTAAGTGTCTGTGTACAGGTAGGGATGGACTGGGAGGCAACGACCAACTAACTTCCAGACCTAGAAAAAGGGGGTCAGAGCCAAGGCATTGAATGTGCAGAGCAAGAGCTTAATGATTGTGTTGGCAAAATATCAAACTACTCTTTAGGCTGCAGAGTTAGAATTTGTTATTTTCCCGCTGAGACATCAAGAAAATGTCTTGCATCCTACCAAAGCTTCTAAATGTTGAATTGAAGACCAAGGGATTGTACTGTCTGCCCCAGACCAAGGACTCCACCATGGACACAGTGGGTGGTCACATACTTGTTGGGTGGATGGATGGGCAGATAGATGGATCAATGGATCTGAGACCCTCCCTATAGGAGGTGATTATTAAGAATTCCTAATCTAGTAGTCAATCTGACAAAACACAGTAAGCTGAATTCCTAATTCCATTCACTGTGTCTCACAGATCTTATACAATGAACGCTTATTATTTAGACATTTAAAAGTTTTTCACAGGTCAATTGCAGCAACTTCATATGTCCTTTGAAGGGCTCCTCAGGTCTTTCACAGGATGTGATATGTTAATTGGAGCACTGATATCACTTGCTAGGGAATTCTTTTGTCCTTCATGTTTCCTTCAAGAACTGCACCAAAGATACACTGGGCCAGACTAACTGACCCAGTCTTAATGCCCATTTTCCATCTAGTTCCAGAATTTTCCCAGTATTTCAGCTATTAGGTACGGTCCAAAGTGACCCTGAAGCCTCAGACCCCAAATATGATCCCAGAGAGCCTGGATATCCAAACTCAACTCCCCGCCAGCCCACCAAAGCCAACATGGCCTCTTGGGGCCCAAGGGAGGGAGCCTGTTCTCTGACTGTTCTCCCTGCAGTGTTTTTTATCATACTCTGCAAACTCTGCAAACAAAGTAGTATCCAGCATGCCAACTGAGGCTGAGCCTGCCTTTAACCAAGCGTAGGGCCTCTCCAGAGCTCCTGAAGGAGAAGATCCTCCTGCAAAGGTACAGATCAAGGACTAGAAAGGAGAGAAAAGGGGAAAGCAGAAGTCGGGCTCCTTGTGAGTTTGAGCCCTGTCTCTGTCACTTAGCAGCTGTGTAACTTCAGACAAGTCATTTAACCCCTCTGGATATGTTTACTGTTTTGTAAAATGAAAATGAGTTGTACCTGCCTCAAAGGTTGTTGTAATGAGGTAGTGTATGTAAAGTGCTTAGCACAGTGCCTAACACGTAGCAAGCATCATGAGAGCGACCTCAGCCTGGAAAACCATTAAGAGAAGAGTCAAGGTCACTGAGTGATGAAACAAAAGGGCACTTTGAATAGCCCAAGTTTGCATTAGATAGAAGAGTTGGAGCCAAACAGGAGTAAGTATAGGGCAGTGATCATAAGGTAATTCTCCTAAATAGTTTCCAGGACAGGGAGAGGGTAGGAAGAATCATTTGGTGGCTTGACTTTCCTAGCTCTTGGACCAAGGTGATCATATTAGACATTCCAGAAAATTCTCACTTCAAGCTTAAAGAATTACCAGGTCCCTTTTCCTCTTAATCTTGCAAAGAATTTGTGTCATCTTTGCTTAGTCAGCTGTGACCTTCAGTTCTTACAGTTCATTCAACCTTCATCCTTAGCCCAGGTACATCCCCCCTTTTGGCTGTTTCAGGGCTTCGCTCTGTTGGCCCATGAGTGGGTAGCACTGCAGAGGTCAAGGGACTGCATCCGGCCTGTGCAGAGAGGCCACCTTCTCCCTGCCTTGCTCTGTGGCCCTTCCTGCCCAGGAAAGGAGGTCACACCTCTGCACTTAGAGAAAGGAAGGGTCACCTACCTGGGCACTCTTCGTTGCTGCAGACCCACAGGCTATTTCGGCAAATGCTGTTGGGGAGAGAAGCACAGGTCATGCTTCTCTGCAAACACAAGGGCACATGAAGGGATCTGGTGCACACCACAGACCCCACAGCCCCCAAAGGAAGGGGTCTGGAGAAGAAAGGAGCTGATGCTAGTGGGGTCTCTATGAGGCCAAAGATGCACAGGACAGGGCTGGGGGTACAGAGGAATCTTGGACATGGCGCCAAGGGGAAGAAAGCTGGCAGAGAGAGAGAAGAGGAAAGAAACCAGGGGACCCAAAGTCCCTGAAAATCTCCTCAGACACTAATTAATGTGATTCCTATCACCCCTGTCCCCCAACCACAACACACTGGTGGGAGGGACGAAGGGAAGGCTGGTTGGAAGGGGTGACAGCCAGAACCACGGTGGGCATCCCACGGACACTCCTGGAGAGTGCCAAGCACTGAAAGACAGCAAGGGAAGAGGCTGCAGACAAAACGGGAGTTATTCTCCCCCGTGTGCAGAGACCAGGCAAGCCAGCCTGAGGAAACACCCAGAGGAACTTCCTTAGGACATGACTTGGGCCAGAGACAGCAGCCCAGCTGAGGGTGGCCAACTACAGAGAGCCACGGGGGGCAGCCCTGAGTGAGTCTGCCCCAGGAACTGCTGCCCAGCTCCACCTAGGAGATAGATGATCTTAGGGAGAGAACTGCCCCTGGCTTGGAGACTGCTACTCAGTCCCTCTGCAGGGAGAGAGAATCATTTCTTAAAGCACAGCCTGGGGGAAAGCTGGAGATGCCGCTGGCATGGAGGGAGGCCCTGCCCCCCCCCCATGCCCCCTCCTCTGGCATATCTGTAATGTAGATTTCACTCCCCATCACTGACTTCCCCAAACCACCCCCATCGCAACCTCTTCTCCACCCAGGCCAGGTCCCATTTCACTGGCCGCTGCCCCCGCTGCCCAGCGGCCCTCCCACAATCCACAGGCAGCCCACTCCCACCACCCCAGACCACACCATGGCCCCACTTACCAGGTGTTGCAGTCTCGGGAGAGGGACGCGCCTGGGGGGTACCGCTTCCCGGAATGCATGCAGGAACACTCAGCGCGCTGCACACAGCGGCCATCGTCCAGGAGCCACCCCTCTGGGTTCAAGGGCATAAGGGCAGAGACTCAGCCTGGTCATCCTCCCCACTCATCTCACAGCTACGGCCTCCCCGTGAGCTTCCCCAGCTCACGGCTTCCCAGGAAGCCTAGAGACCCTGTTCTGGGGTGCAGATCTTTCACATCAGTACACCATGAGGGAGGAGGGTTATGAATCTCCACTCTATAGATAAAGAAATGGGGGAAAGAGCTTTGTGCAAAGTCTTCCAATAGGAAAGCCATGAGTGGAATTGCAGAGAACTCACCCTGAATAACTGAGCAGGGTTTCTCACCAAAGCCCACAAAGTCTCTCCTGAGAAAGACTTTCTGGTGCAAAGCTCTTTTTCAGCTGAGCCACATGGCAAACCCAGGAAACATTCTAAAATATCTTTCTCCCAGACCGGTTCCCTGACATTTAACTGAGAAAACAAAACTGCACTCAGAGTGGGCCCCGTGTTCTCCCTGTCGGACCACACCACCCTTCTGTTTCCTAGACACACGTGCTTTCGGGGATACCGTAAAAGAGGAAAACATAAATTAAAAATAAATTCCAGCTCAATCCCAATCACTCAGTACAAAGACATTTTTAAAAAATAAATAAAAAGCCTCTGAATTCAGCAATAGGGAACAAACACAAGTGGCCTTCATCTGGGCTCCCCACGCTATGGGTACTGGCAAGGTCTCAGGGCTATAAATAAAGCAGGAACTTTATTACCAGGGCAGCTGCAGCCATCCACACATTGCTCCTGACACACTTCATTGATGTGCAGGCTCTGGCAGGTTCTGGCGCAAGGGGACACACACTCCTTGTACTCCATGCCAGCAGGGCAGGCCGGTCCTGAAACAGAAGTCAGGAGCCTCCCCAGAGTGGTCCCCTGGGGCAGCCTCTCACAGGCCACACCACGCGGAGGCTCCAGGCCCCTTTGCTGCCCTCTGTCTTCAGGGCCCCAGGGCCATCTGCACCCCACTGGCTCCCCAGTAGCCAATGTGCCCTCCAAGGCCACCCTGCCAACCACCTGTCCCCTGAAGGACCATCATATGGGAGGGCCCCGCCCAGACTCAGCAGGGTCACCTGAGGCCACCACCCCTTGCCCTTGGTCTCCATGAATAGCCTGACATATTTTTGCTCCGCTACACTCTGTCCCCATCTCCTAAAAACCCCTAAGGGTGATACCAAATTCCTCTGGGCTGAATACAAACGTCCTCCTGGAGCCAGGCAAGTAGTAACCGGTGTCCTCCACCACATCCCCCATGAGGGGTCCTCTTCCCCATGAACTGGCCCTCATCAAATGCTCACCCAACACAGAGCACGCAACATTTACACCCACTCCGCCCACAAGGGTGACACTCATTCCGTATTTCTTTCCCCTGGGCACAGGACCACCTGTGGAGCCTTACACGGAAGCAGCTGCCCTCCCCGCTGGACCCAGCTTCCCATGGGCAAGGGCTGGATTTCCTCTGTCTCTCGACCTTGTGGCCAACTGATGCTCAGGCCAACTGAAGGACCAGAAAGTACCAATGCTCTTTTAGGGGCCTCATGACACCAAAGGATTGTCCCAAACACCTTCCCCTCCAAGATACATCAGTTATCCCCCCATCCTGCCATGTCTTCAAAGACCTAAGGAGCAGCCACTCCACCTTACAGAGAAGCCAGCTGCTAATAGCCACCTTTCTCACACCCCCACAGCAAGGATGAAAGCTATAATTCATAAGCTGAAAACACACAAACTGGAAATCGTGTGTGCAGTGTAAACCTGTGGCCTGGTCCCTGTCTCTATCAGTTGGTGCCATCTGCATAACTACTGCAGCCTGGCCATTCATCTGCACAGCTTTCTCCATCAGGGGAAAGTCTGGGACAGAAGAGGCTTCTTGCAAGGTGACCAAGAAGCTCCTACTTACTTGGTAATGTGGGGATGGTAGCAATGACAGAGTAGGGGCCCAATGAGATCAGATCAAAGCCCCAGGCACCACGAGGTGGGGTGGAAGGAATGGTGGCATTGCCAACCTTTTGTGTCCAAATGATAGATTTCCTGAGGGAGTCACAGGGACCTGAGGGAGGCCTGGCATGAGGACAGGGGCAGAAGAAAAGACACGGGCACTTGGGAAGGCCCTTCAAGCTACATCCTTTACAGGAGGCTGGCCCCAGCATGGCAGCACCCTGTGACCAGGTGGCAGAGGCCAGGAGCCAAGCAGGATTCAAGCCCAGGAACACAGAGGCCTTGCAGGCCCTAGTTGGTTGGGGTGTGGTAAAGGCACCACCCAGGAGCTCGAGTGACACCCCAGGACAGACCCCACCCCTCGCCAGCCCCCAGCAGCTGACTTACGGCAGGTGCTGTGGTCAGCCCAGCCGTGCAGCACCATTCCTTGCTGGGCACAGGCCCGGGCATACTCCAGGAGGGCAGCGCAGGAGCACCTCGGCCCCTGGGCACATGTGCACAGAGTCTCCTCACACAGGGCCACAAAAGGCTCAGGGTCCACCAGAGGGTGGCAGTGGGCGAACACCGAGGCACTCTTCAGAAGCTGGCACTGCTCCCATGGGCCCTGCAGGGATGAGAGGCACCTCCTCAGTGAGGGCAGCACTCACACGACCCTGGCTCCTTGGTGAGTCCACATAGTGTCCCGCCGACACCGAGTGTGGCTCTGTGGTGACCTCAACCTGCCCGAAGCCTGGGGCAGCTCCCTGACACCTGGTGCCTGGTGGGTGCTTACCAATATTCGTCAAATTGAACAGTCCATCCATCAAAGGAAGGATATTGAACTCATGCTACGTGAAGTGGCCTGAGGTTAAGCTACCTCCTCACTGAGCCCTGAGCCCTGGAAATGCAGGGTCCAAGGCCGCGGAGTGGCAGGAGGTGTCCCATAAAAGGGAAGAGCAGCTCTCTGCTCTCTCTGCAACAGCAAAGAGCTCTGCACTTGGACTCAGGCTGCCCAGGATGCTGATCAGAATCTGTTTTGCACTAACCTTACTGCCTCGTCTCCCGGCCCCTGGTCGTCACGACAAATGAGCAGGTGGATCAATGAGTTTTATAAAGTAGAGATTTCTGAGATTTAAATTCACCAATGTTAGGGTTGGAGTTCAGCAATACATTTTTGCAAACATTTGTCAGGCAATTTCCAGGACCAGACAGGACCAGTTCCCATCAGCAAAAACATGTTAGGATTCTACAAAATGTGTCCCCCATCCTCTGCCATGCGAGGGCTATTCTTGAGTTTTACCACTTATTTCTGAAGTGGGGGTGCATCTTACAATCAATATTGCACTTTGATTAGCTGTAGCTTTTTTTTTTTTCTGGACTTGAAAATAGACTCTGGAATCTCATCCTACAGACTTTTATTCAGGCATCTTAATAATTCTATAAGCCATCTGACAATAAATAAATCCTATAATAAATCCTTTTTATTCAAATTGTCTAGAGTAGAATCTGTTATCTGCATCAGAATATCAGCCAATACAAAACCCCAAAGAGAATATACAGAACACTTAAAAGGACTCGTTTTTAAAGGCTATTTTACAGTAAATCAAGTAACTGAGTTCCATGATAATTGACCCTGATAATAGGTCTCCCCTTGTGATTTCTCTTTTTTTAACACCCAATTATTTTCCGCTTTCTTCTCTCTATTGCTCAGCTTTTTCACTCTTAGTGGTACATAGAACACTGATGTGTTTGAGAATCAACAATGTCTTAGATTTGACACAATACAGTTTTGTCCCCATTGGGTGCATCATACACTTTCTGCACAGGCTCGCTTGCGGCCTGGAAGCCAGCCGTTAGTGAACGGACTCAGAACCTTCAGCCAAAAAGAAATAAGCACAGAAGTATCTAATGGAAGGGAGGAGCCTTAGAGCAAACTGGTGTTTGCAAAGGGGACCCTAAAAAAGAGGAAAGAAATGACCAGTTTGAAGAGAGGGAAATCCAATCAGCTAGATTGTACAAAGGATGGCCGGAGCAAAGACTGGAGGGATGGAAATCTGACCCACTGCTGCTCACCATCCACGAGAACCACCAGGCAGCACCAGGGGCGAGCTGCAGTCCGAGGGAAAGCCCGGGTCCTACCCACAGTGCCGCGGAGCTGGGGCCCCGCCCCCTGCCCAGCCAGCGGAAACAGCAAGCAGAGTAGAATGTCACCTCTGCACCCTGATCATAGCAGGGCCCTGAGGACCCCAAGGGGAGGGATGGCTGGTTCCCTGTGCACCTCAGAAAATCAACGGCCACATGGGCTGCTCAACTGCAAAGCTGCAGCTGCAGACTCATGGGACAGGCAGGAGGCCGCTCCGTCGTGGAGCCCCCTGCCGAGAGCAGCCCTCCTTCTGTGACACCGCCTTTCTGACTTACCTCCCGAGGTAGGTAAGTCAGAAGTGAGGCACTGCACCCACTGCCGGCTGCTGAGAACAAGCAGAGACTTGAGGGCAGTTCTGCCTCACGGGCAGCAGGGACTGAGGCAAGTCTCACATCAGCATGTTCTTGAGCAAGACGGGAATGACCCAACAGGCACTGCCTCATGGTGGGACACCGACGTGCCAGGCATGGAGCAAGCAACCGGTGAAGGAAGACTGCCACTGCAGGTCCCATGCCCACTGAGGTCCCAGGTTATCATATGTGTCCTTCATGTGCCACCCTGAGCATTTTCCACAAGGGAAACTGAGGTTTCTGAAGGCAATGTCAGGAAGAGTCCTGCTCTGGGCTCATTGTGCCTTCACAGCCCCATATCCAAGTTCTGCCTCTCCTACGTGCTAGTGGGGTGACCCCGGGCTGTTTACTAACCTTCCTCTTCTGTCAAACCGGAATAATGACAATGGCTCCTGTCTGGTAAGAGTGTGGTGAAGACTGAACAGATGCTCATAAAGGTTTAGCTTTATGAACAGCGCTTCCACACCATCACGCTCATCAATACCCCAGCCACTCGAGAGCCCCTCCACTGCCCCTCCCGCCTCTGGGCTTACCCTCTAGAATGGTGGGCAGTTCACCAGCCAACAGGACATCTTTGCCCCTTTCCCCGTCTCCATCTCCCTGGGCTCTACCATGGCAACAGGTCCACGTCCCTAGACCGTGGAGGTGCCGTGATGAACAGAGGGGCTGCAGTTCATCTTTTCTGTGGGAGGAGTACTCTTCCAGAACTAAGTGGGTTTCTTTCTAGTGGGCCTGAGGCAGGACCCACTCTTCTTGCCATGTGCTGGTCTAAGAATCTCCCGAGGCTCAGGGGAGGGGGTCTGTGTCTCGGTCCTTCCCTCCCGCCACACTGCCTGCCTCCTGAGAAATGCCACTCAGAAAACGAGCTGATGGGACTCTTACAGGGCAGAGAGGACAGGTACTCAAGCTCTCGCCCACCTCTTCCCCCACCCACAATTTGGAATCAGAGGAAAACCCAAAAAGGAGGCTCCCCAGGGTCTCCTGAGTGGTGCTGCAGTCACCTGGGCTGTAGGAAGGGGCTTAGAGCAGTGCCCCACAGGACCGACGGCACAGGGAGCAGGCCCCAGGGTCCTCCCAGTAGGGCTCAGTGTCAGCCAGAGCAAAGATGGGCCCCTGCAGGCCAGGTGTCCTCCCCTTTGGAAGCGACAGTGGGGCTGGGCCGAGTCAGTCCTTTACCTGCTCACAGGAAAAGCGGGAGCAGGACTCCAGCACATTTCCTGGGAGGTCCCTTGAGTTACTAAACGGTTTGCAGAAAGTCTTAGCAAGAAGGGTGTTTTCTGATTATCGGCCTGCAGGATGGGAGTGGATTTCTGCAGAAATGGCCACCTCCCTTCTTAGAGCAGCGCCTTTGGCCTCTACCCACACACCTGAAGTCCGGTTCGAGTCTCTTCTCAGCAGAAACAGAAGGAAAGGTCTGTCCTCCCACCTTGCCCTCCAGTCTGCCTCCAGCCAAACCAGGCCTGCACTTGGCAGCTGGAGCGGCCACAATGTGACTGCCGGGCAGGCCTCGCAGGTGTCCTCCCTCACCCCAGGGCAGCAGCTAGCTCGCTATCTCTGCCTCCCAGGCTTCCCGTCCCACCACAGGGATCCCTGCCAGGCCAGGCCCTGAGACAGGCCGTCTCCGCAGAAATAAGTCCAAGATGGAGCCAACACCCTGTCCTGTCGACCAAACAAGCATTGGCTGTCTGGGCTCTGGGTCCCCAGCAGTGTCCCAGTTAACAGAGGGGGCACATCTGCCTCTGTGCGCCCCAACCCAGCCTAAAGGGCAAGGCCCTCACTCAGGAGGAAGGCGCTAGGCCAGGCCTTCCGGGATCTGAGCCCAGCCAACCTCCTAGCTCCTTCCCCACTCCCGTCTCATGCATTATTGATGGCTCCCAACCAAATGAAGCTCCAGAGACTGCCTCAAAGAACCTGCAAAGAACACAAAGCCCTCAGAGAAAAGTGAGATCAAGAAAGTCTTTCAGATTTAGAACCTGAGGCATGGAAAGAGTACAGAAAGAATTTACTAGATCAGCAGTTCACAAAGCACAGTCCAGAGACTTTGTACAGACTCCCAAGATCCCTTCAGGCGTCCACGAGGTCACAACTATTTTCATGACAGTATTAGGTGTTTCTTGGCCTTTATGCTTTCATTCTTTCATGAGCATACAGTGGGATTTTTCCAGAGGCTCCATGATGTGTGAGGTCACAACAAGCTGACTGCAGAAGCGGACACAACAATCCAGTTGACTTCTCCAAGCCAGGTAGCAACGAGATTTGCCAAACTGTGAAACGGGCAATATTTCTTTGTTTGGCATTACAGTTCTTTTTATTAAAAGGATGTTATTCATGTTAAATATAATGTGTTTATTATTTTTAAATGAGTTTTAAATGTTTTCTATTTCTCAGATTTAATACCTAAGATAGTAAATATCAACAGATAAAACTTACTTAAACAGAATCTCCTTCACGCCCTCAATCATTTATAAGAGTGGGAAGGGGCCCTGGAGTTAAACAGTGGGCCACCTGCTGTTCTGGTGGTGGGGTGACCAAGCAGGACGCAACCCCTGACTCCATCCTGCAGGCTAGTTACCTGTCACCAAACCACAACCACATGGTTGCCCATGCCCTCAGTGCCCCCCGGCCATCCCCACCTTGTTTCCTAATGATTAGATTGGAAGAAGTGCAAAACAGGGGAAAGTTCTAAACAGCCCCGGTTTAGAAGCAGGGTCGGGCTGGAGTCCCAACACTGTCACTTCTAAATGTGACTTCAGAAGAATCATCTCACTTCTAGGCCCCTGTTTCCTCACCCATAAAAGAAGGAAGGTGTGGAGGAGGTTGGAGCTGTCCAGGACCTGTTCTTCCCTTCCTTAGTCTAGGACCCTCAGTTTTCCATTTTCATCTGGGGACATAGTGACTGAGAATAAAGGTTCCATTTCTCAGCCCCCCTCACAGCCACCAATAACCGTATGACAAAGCTTGACCCAATTGGACATAAGCAGAAGGGTCATGTGCAAATTGCAGGAAGTGTCCTTAAAAGGAGAGGGTGTGTCTTTCTCAGTCCCCTCTCCTCCTACTGCTGGGATGTGGTTGTGGTGTCCGAGGCGTAAGCCGCCATCTTGGGCCATGAAGTAGAAGCCCCACACTGAGGAC